AAAATAAAGATAATGGAGAGAATGAAGGTCTGACATGAATCACTTATCATTTACAGAAGCCAGTCATTATTGCCAACTGTCTTCGCAAGGAGTATGCAGGGAAGAGGACACGCTGCTTCTCCAGGAAGAAGAAGAAAATAGCCACAAGAAATGTCTCCTTTTGTGTTAGAAAAGGTTGGACTTGGTGCTTCTTGCCCTGTGGGTTCAGGACCTTTCTCCTCAGAGCTTGATGGATGTGAATGAGAAGTCTTCTGGAAGCCACCTCTCAGTTCTCATGCAGATCTAGCTGATCTTGAGAGAGCTCCTTTAACATGATGAGTTTCTAAATGAATTTTAATCAACTTCCCCATGCGTAGGGAGTAGGATATATATACATACATGTGTCTCCATTGAAACTGTAAGTTCTTTTCTAAAGCAAACCACTGAAACCATGGCATTTCTAGGCAACAAACACAACTGATCTCCTCAGGCATGTTATTTTTTTCCATGAGAGAACTGAATGGAGATGAACATTCAGAATCCTAATCAGGAAGTGTTGGGTGACCTGACATTGAGTGAAAGTCACACAGAGACTGAGGAGAGTCTGACACCCTGGGCTTCCAGAATGGCAAAGCCACTTCACATCTGTGTAACCTCAGCTCTGAGAGCTTGTCGGCAAAGACAAGAAGATTTAAGTGTAGTGATAACTGCATCCTCTACTGGTTGGTACAATGAAATGAGATACTTTACATAAAGCACATAGCACAAGGTTTGCCATGGAGTGAGACTTCAGACTATATTTTATGTTTATTTGTACTCTTCAGATCAATTAGTACTAAGTGTGACCTTTTGTTCTTTCAGGTGAGGTTTTAGGATTATTAGGACACAATGGAGCTGGAAAAAGTACATCCATTAAAGTTATCACTGGAGACACACAACCAACTGCTGGACAGGTAAGTGAAAAACGATGTGGAAACGAAATCATCTAGAAGTGCTTAAAATAAGTTTATAAAATGTTGCAGTTATAAAACCACTGTCAAATTGATACAATTATAAAACCACCTGCTGTGTGGTTGGTTCACACTCATAGAAACCCTACAGAACAGAGTAGAATAGCTCCTTAGGGTTTCCAAGACTGACAAGTCTTTTATTATTAATTAATTTATATCCTTCAAGGGCGTTGAGAAGCAATGCAACATATCCATTATCAGATTAGAAATTATTCTCAGAATCCATAAAAATTCTATTAATACTGCCACAAAACACATGGGACTGTAATGGCTACAAGAGGCCATGATGTTTTGGTAAAGTAAGAGGGCCAATGAAAAGGAGGAAAGCCCTCAGTGAGATATATTGACACAATACCAGCAACACTGGATGTAAATATATCAAAGACCAGAAATATGGTTCAGGACTAGGCAACACTGTGTTCTGTGATACGTAGGTTTCCAAAAGTTGAAACTGATTTGACAGCATCTAACAAAGTAACAACAAAGCAGATGGCTTTTTACTTTCAATGAGGAAGTGATTTCAATGATTTCATTTCATTGTCTATTCAGCATATACTATTTCAATTTTGAATACTCTTGTTGTTAGGTGCCATCAAGTCAGTACCAACTCATAGCGACCTTATTCACAACAGAATGAAACACTGCCCAGTCCTGCTCCAAGTTCACAATCCTTGCTTTAGCCCATTTCTTCTGCCACTGTGTCATTCTATCTCATTGAGGGTCTTCCTCTTTTTCCCCTGACCCTCCACTTTACCAAGCATAATGTTAATGTCCTTCTTCAAGGACTGGTCCATCCTGACAATATGTCAGAAGAATTTGTCTCTCTTTGAGAGACAAAGATTGGCCATTATGGCTTTGAATGAACATTCTAACTGCACTTCTTCCAACATGGATTTTTTCGTTCCTCTGACAATCCAGTCTGGTCTTTTTAAAATTCTCCTCCAACACCATAAACTCAAATGCATCAATTCTACCGTCTTCTTTATCCATTGCCCAACTTTCACATGCATATGAGGCTATTCAAAATACCATGAGTTGGGTCAAGTGTACCTTAGCCCTCAGACTGATAGCTTTGCTCTTCAACACTTTAAAAAGGTCTTGTGCAGCAGATTTGCCTAATCCAATATGTCATCTGATTTCTTAACTACTGCTTTCATGAGTGTTGATGGTTGATCCCAGCAAAATGAAGTCTTTGACAACTTCAATCTTTTCTCCATTTATTTATTTGAATGTTTATTATTTGAATGTTATTATTGGTCCAGTTGTGAGAATTTTTGTTTCCTTTAAATTGAGGTGCAATCCATACCAAAGGCTGTGGTCTTTGATCTTCATCAGTAGGTATCTTAAGTCCTCTTCACTTTCAGCAAGCCAGGTTGTATCATCTGCATATGGTTGTTGATGAGTCTTCCTCTGATCTTGATGCCATGTTCTTCATCATATAATCCAGTTTCTCAGATTATTTGCTCAAAATACAGACTGAATAAGTATGGAGAAAAAATACAACCCTGGCACACACCTTTTCTAATTCCCCCTTCCCTTGTTCTGTTGGAAGTGCCCCCTTGTTCTGTTTGAATGACTACCTCTTGGTCTACATATGGTTTCTTCAAGACCACAATTAAGTGCTCTGGAATACGCATTTTATACAGTGTTTTTCGTAGCTTATCATGATCCACACAATCGAATGGCTTTGCATAGCTAATAAAGTATATGTCTGCAATGAAATACCTTATCCCTCATCTTCATCTGAATCCAGCTTGAACCTCTTACAGTTTCCTGTCAATGTACTGTTACAACCATTTTAAAATTATCTTTAACAAAATTTACTTGCATGTTATATTTGTCATATTGTCTAGTGATTTCTCCATTCCATTGGGTCACCTTCTTTGGAGTGGGCACAAATGTGGATCTTTTCCAATCAATTGGCCAAGTAGCTGTCTTCCAAATTTCTTGGCATAGATGAGTGAATGCCTTCAGTGCTATATAAGTTTCTTGAATTATTTCAATTTGTATGTAATCAGTTCCCAGAGCCATGTTTTTTGCCAGTGCCTTCAATGTAGTTCGGATTTCTTCCTTCAGTATCGTTGGCTCGTGAGCATATGCTTCCTCTTGAAATGATTCAACATCAACCATTTCATTTTGGTACAGTGACTCTGTGTACACCTTCCATCTTCTTTTGATGCTTTCTGCCTCAGTCAATGTTTTACCCATCAAATCCTTCAATATTTCAAATCAAGACTTGAATTTTTTTCTTCTGTTCTCTCAGCTTGAGAAATTCCCTTTTGGTTATCTAACTCCAGGTCTTTGCACATTTCATTATAATATTTGGCTTTGTCTTCTTGAGTTGTCCTTTGAAATTTTCTATTCAGCTCTTTTACCTTCTCGTTTCTTCCATTTGCTTTAGCATCTCTGCACTGGAGAGCAAGTTTCAAAATCTCTCTGACATCCGTTTTGCTTTTTTTCCTTCTTTCTTGTTTGCTTAATGACCTTTAGCTTTCTTCCTGTATGATGTTCTTGATGTCATCCCACAACTCTACTGGTTTTCTGCCATTAGTGTCTAATGCATTAAACCTGCTCTTTACTTGATGTCTAAATTCAGGTGGGATATATTCAAGGTCATATTTTGGCTCTCATGGGCTGTTTTTTAAATTTTCTTCAGCATCAGCCTGAACTTATATATGAACAACTGATGGTCTGTTCCATAATTTTGAATAGAACTGTCAGAAAACAAAAAGAACCCCGTTAATATACAGTATCTTAGTTGGTATTGATAAAGTGCTTAGCTATTGAAGTCATACATTTTTATACATATACATGATTCCCTAGAAGTGTCTTCAGGTATGACTGGCAATTTAGCTACAAAGACAGGAAGTTGACCTTAATTGTACATGCATTTTAATTGTATGAAGCTAGGTAGATAGGAAAAGAGATTAAGTTTGTCAACAAGGGGGACACTGTGGGAAAAGAGAAAGAAAACTCCCAAAATCTTAAGACAGAAAGTAGACAATCTTACGTAACTCATAAAGTTTGCCCAGGGTGGAACTGCAGTTTGGAGACGGGGTTGGAGTTAACCCTGGGTTAGGAAGGATGTCCAGGAACATTGCTAAACAGAGAGGGAATTGTGGTTATTGTTGTGAAGTGCTGTCAAGTCGATTCCAACTCACAACCCATAGCAACCCTGTATATGGTTTCCAAGGAGCAGCTGGTGAGCTTGAACCACCAACCTTGCAGTTCAAATGACTTGGCAGTCTGACGCATTAACCCACAGCACCACACCAGGACTCCCACAGTCCTGCTGACGCTAGGGTCAGAGGTCCTGAACCAGAAGGCAGATTGCTCAATAAAAACCACTCAGCAAGAACCTTAACTAGACCCTCTATTTCAGTGGTTGTTGTTGTTGTGTGCTATAGAATTGGCTCTAACTCATAGTGAACTTATTTAGGGTTTCTGAGGAGTGGCTTATGGTTGTTGCTAAGTGCTGCCGACTAGTTGTCAACTAATATTGTCCTTGTATAGCGTAGTGGTTACGAATTTGCCTGCAAACTTTAAGGTCAGCGGTTCGAAACTACCAGCTGCTCCATGGGAGAAAGATGAGGCTTTCTACTCCCGTAAAGATTTACACCCTCGGAAACCCTGTACAGGGTCGCTATGGGTTGGAACCAACTCGATGGCACTTAACAACAACAACAACATAGTGACCTTATTTAGGGTTTCTGAGCAGTGCCTTGTGGTTGCTGCTAAGTGCTGCCGACTAGTTGTCAACTAATACTGTCCTAGTATAGGGTTTACGAGGTTGTAAATCTTTGTGGGAGCTGAAAGCCTCATCTTTCTGCCACAGAGTAGATGGTGGATTCAAACTATCGACCTTGTGGCTCACAATCCAGTGCTTGCTCTCTACGGTCACTGCGCGCCCGTGGCTGGCGGTGGTCACGCTCAAATTCAATCACCATCATTTGTTTGGATTGTTTATTGTTTGTTAGATCATAAGTCATTTCCCCCCTCATTACACACGGATGAAAAAAATATGTAACTGTAACACAGTTATAAAAATGATCGGTTACTAACCCAAAACTCTTGACAGTTTGAACTTACCAGCCATTCCCTGGGAGAAAAATATGGCAGTTTGCTTAAGTAAAGATGGCCACTTTGGAAATCCTATAGGACAGCGTTACCTGGTCTTATAAGGTTAATGTAAGTCAGAATCACCTTGTTAGCAATAGGTTTGTTTTTGGAGGGGTTTTGTAAATTAGGCTAAGACATAGTTTTAATACATGCAAGCTATAAATTGTAAAGCCAACTAGTTGGGTGTTATGAAATCAGATCATCTGAGGTGGTCTTTTACTTTTTTAAATTTGTCTTTTTATTTTTTAACTTCTGATTGTGAGTTGAGTGAAGGTTCACAGACAAAATCATCAGTTTTACATTCACCAAATCACACACTTTGTTTCATCTTGATGATTGCAATTTCTCCATGCAACAACAGTGAGCCCACTTCCTCCCTGGGGTTCCTGTTTCCATGCCACCCTCCTTCCATTCCCTTCACAACTTCATCCTTAGGTAAATGTTGCCCTTGTTGTTTTTGAATAATTGACCATTCCATGGTGAGCACAGCTTACTAGTGTTGTTGTCCCCCCTATAAATCCTATCAACTGCTTGACTGAAAATTAGACCACAAGAGTGAGTTATTTTTCAGACCTGAAGACTAGTTGAGGGCCATAGTCTTAGATTCCTCCAGTCTCTTTCTGACCAATAATCCCAGTCTTTTGTTCATTAAATAATTTTGAGTTTTCTTTCACTATTTTCTCCTACTCTACTTAGGAGCTTCTAATGGGATCTTTTTCAGGGCAGATGGTAATGGTAACCGGGCACCATCTAGTTCTTCTGGTCTCAGAGTCATGGAGGCTAATGTTGGGTTGATGTTTTTAAATCATGTCATTTTCCTGATGAAATACCTTCCAGGACCCCTCACTGTGCTATGATGGAAGGGATCTCTTCCCCTTTCCTGTAGGCAACGTCAGAGCCTCCCCAACCTCATCTCTGTCCTTCTCCCCTAGCTCACTCTGCTCCAAGACCCACGCCTCTCTTTCCCTCTGGTCCAAGAACACATCAAGCTTCATCCAACCACAGGACATGGGACCTATATTCTTGCTGTTTGTTTTGCCTGCAACGCCTTTCCTTTGGTCTTGACCATGGCTGGTGCGTCTCAACTCTTCAACTGAATTAGCTTCTTGGTGAATGGGCTTCCTCTGATCACCTGCCTAAAGTCACACCTTCGGTTGTTCTGTATCCTCACCTTCTGAAGATTCCCATTACTTCACAACTTATCGTGTATTTTTAGTCTATTTACTCTCTTCTCCACTCATTCATGTATTGCTGAGTTGCCAGAAAAAAAGCCCCAAGTCACAGGATGCTAGCTATTGTGTTCTTTATCCAAAGCCCACAACACAGCATTATTGATAAAAGAGTGAAGTTAACTATTAATGATTAAACTTAAGTTAACACACTTCATTCTTACAGTGAAGAAATTTGATAAAAATTCTCAGCCAAAATGGTAAGATACCATATTTATGGCATATTTGGCTTATGTGGTCTAGAGTGTACACACTTGTTTAGTTGTGGAGACACTTGTTTTCATGGAGTTGTTCTCTGACCATCTTTTCCAAAATGATTCATAGGAATAAAAGAAACAATTGCTGTTGAGACACTTCTGACTCTTAGAGATCCCTGTGGGTCTCAGTAGAGCTGTGCTCTGTACGGTTTTCAGTGGCAAATTCTTCAAAAGTAGATTGACAGATTTTTCCTTCAAGGTGCCTTCTTGTTGTTGTTGTTGTTGTTAAGTGCCGTCAAGTCGATTCTGCAGCTGGTGAGCTTGAACTATCATCATGCAGTTCAAATGGCTTTGCAGTCTGGCGCATTAACCCACAGTGCCATACCAGGACTCCTTGGGTGGACTTAAACTTTTAAATGTTTGGTTAGAAGCCAAGGACTTTAACATTTCCACCATTCAGGATCCCCCCGAATATGATCATAAAGTATTCAACTCTATTAGTCTTAGAGTTTCTTTACCTGTTCCTGTAGAGATACCAAGAAACCAAAACTGAAGTCACTGCCATTGAGGCAATCCCTACTCATCGCCACCCTGTAGTGTTTCTGACTCTGTAAATCTATATGGGAACAGAAGATCTCATCGTTTTCCTTTGGAGCAGCTGGTGGGTTTGAACCACCAAGCTTTTGCTTAGCAGTCCAGGTCTTATCCTACAGAGCCAACCAGAATGTCCTAGAACACCCTAAGGGACAGTTCTACTCTGTGACGTGGGATTACTATGCGTTGAAATTGACTCCATGACACTTAACAACAACCACCAGCAAGTGAAATGTCATTGAATTGCTCAGAAAAACAAGGAAGTGTCGCATCTGAAAGTGAATTGATTCCTCCAGGTGCTACTACAAAGCATCAGTGGAGAAGACACCCGTGGGTTCCTGGGGTACTGTCCTCAGGAGAACGCACTGTGGCCCAACCTGACGGTGAAGGAGCACTTGGACGTGTACAGCACTGTGAAAGGACTGAGGAGAGAAGATGCCGAGGTCGCCATTACACGGTACGGCGTAGTTCTGTACTGGGGACATGGGAGTTTGGGGGACGAGGGCTAGGAACAGAGGAAAGACCTGGAGGGATTAGGTTCACAGGAACCTCAGAAAGAGAGATCTTTAACCCCTTCCCAGGCCACATCCACAAGTAGATACTGATTTCCTGGATTTCAAAGTCGAATTTTTGTTTTTCTCATATTACGCATGGAGAGAAAAAAGCAAATATTTAATGTCAGAATGAATCAAAAGTACTGAAATCTAGGTAAAAATAAAAAACAACTGCTGTGGAGTCTATTCTGACTCATGGAAGTCTCATATAGGTCAGAGTAGAGCTGTGCTTCATGGGGTTTATGTAGTGGAATTTTCATGAGAAGATCTTTCTCCTGAGAGGTTAGCAGCCTAGTAGGTTAAACATTTACACCACCCAGGGATAGAAAATAAAACAACTATATATTTTATGGAACAACAATTGGCTGGATACCATGAAATGTGCTGATATTCTTTCAAATAACACAACTCTTTCCTTTTGAAAGGGGTGTGTGGGGAAGAAGATGTCAAGATAGCTAATTGTGGGGTACCCAGCATCTGTTTCCAGAACGTCATTTCTGAGCCCTGTCCCATGATCTTTTCCTGCTGGCCGCTTCTCTCTCAACTTTCCTTAGTATGAAGAAGACAATAGACTCTGAGGTCCTGTTGGGTTTCTGTTAGGTTGGTAGATGCGTTCAAGCTGCAGGATCAGCTGAAGGTGCCCGTCAAGACCTTATCAGAGGGGATCAAGAGGAAGGTATGTGCAGGGCTCAGGGTCACCCCGCCCCTCCACACACAGACAATGCCCAACATTCCTCCTCTCCTTCTAGCTGTGCTTCATGCTGAGTGTCCTGGGGGGGCCAGCAGTGGTGCTTCTGGATGAGCCTTCTACAGGGATGGACCCCGAAGGGCAGCAGCAGATGTGGTGAGCAGCTGGACATGTCTGATGGGAAATTTGTGAATTGTTTGAGTCCTGCAAATATTATGCCTTAAATGGTTTCTTAACATGGAAGAAGTTATCAATACAATATCCTTAGTAACACCAATACTTACTTTAAAATTAAAACAAAAAACAAAAAATCTCACATCAAGTATTTCCATTGCTCATTTGATAATTTGGGATCAAGTTTGTTGTTATTGTTGTTAAGTGTCATTAAGTCAGTTCTGACTCATAGTGACCCAGTAAAGGGTTTGAACCTCTGACCTTGCAGTTAGAAGTCCAGTGCTTGTCCTACAACACCACGCCAGAACTCCTTTAGGTGTTGGTGTGCCCGGGAGTTGGTTCTGACTCATAGCAACCCTGCGTAGGGTTTCCGAGGCTGTAAATCTTTACAGGAGCAGAAAGCCTCATCTTTCTCCCACAGGGTGGATGATAGTTTTGAACTGCTAACCTTGAGGTTAACAGGCCGATTCATAGCCACTACACTACTAGATCTCCTACCCTTTAGGTAAGGTGATATAATGATTTTGTACCAAAATCATATAATTGCCAACAGTGAACTTGAGAATATGGGAGGGGCCTTCAAAAGTTCATGGAAGAATGGAACTAAAAGATAATGGACCTGTTCCTCCCATTTTTGAACCCCCTTGTGTTCACCTGTAAAGCGGTGGGGTTTCTAGATGTGGCACTTGTGTGTATGTTATGTGCATTAATTTTCTTCTCCTGACAACTCTTTGCACAGCCTTTTTAGTAAGAATTCTCTCTTGCTCAGCATTTGTCGTTCAATGTTGTTATTATTATTAAGTGCCTTTGACTGGTTCCCACTAGGGTTTCCAAGGAGTGGCTAATAGATTTGAACTGCCAGCCTTGCAGTTATCAAACCAAAGTTTATCCACACCAGGACTCTTCTATCAATACAACTGTGTAAAATAGTTAAACCCTCAGATGCCTTCTAAGTTTAACTGCTATCATGTGACAGTCCCTTCCACAACCTGCCTTCCTCCTTACTCTCCCCATACTTAATCTCAATGATTTGCTAATTATTTCAGATTCATGCCAATTAAAAATTGGGTTTTCTGTATATTTTTTAAGCTTTTCTTGTGAACTGAGTGATAGTTTACATAGTAGAACATTGGTTTTGTACTCAACCAATCGTATTTTGTTTCATTGCAATGATTATAATCCCCTCCATGCAACATCAGTTAACAGTATTTGCCTCTATTCCCTCTTTTTTTTAAAAAAAAAATTATTTCTTTACACAAAAACATGAAGGAATATATCATCATTTAAACAACCAAAGGCCACATATTGCAAGCCAGCCTCCTGGCCACCAACACACAGCCTTTCTCTTTCCATGAGTCTGGAGTCCTCAGCTGCTCTATCTCTCCATGTCATCACCTCTGCCTCCATCTCTAGTGTCACTGCTTCTCTGACTAGGGTCCCACGTTCCACTCACACTCTTCCCTCTTGATGGTCCCGGGGTCCTCTGTTCCTGAAATGAAAGACTAACTACTCCCGTCTTTATGTTACACATCTTCTACCTTTATAGTTGTGATCACTCTTTCTTGATCAGAGAACTTCCTTTAATTGCAAATATCCTCATGAAATTTTAGGCAGGCGATCCGGGCCGCCATCAGCAACACAGAGCGGGGTGCCCTCCTGACCACCCACTACATGGCCGAGGCCGAGGCCGTGTGTGACCGCGTGGCCATTATGGTGTCTGGGAGGCTCAGGTTGGTGCTCCCCAGGGAGCAGGACACGCGAGTTTCTTTGAGGAGGGGAGAGGGCACTGTGGGCAGTGGGAGGTGATGTTGGCGACTGATAAGAGGTTCTATGTCATGTTCTCCTTTCTGCTCTGCCTCTTCCTGCTCCTGCCCCAGATGTATTGGTTCTATCCAACACCTGAAAAGCAAATTTGGCAAAGATTACCTGCTTGAGATGAAGGTGAAGGACCCCTCTCAGGTGGAGCCCCTCCATGCCGAGATCCTGAAGCTTTTCCCTCAGGCTGCTCGGCAGGACAGGTACAGATTGGCTGCTGGCTTCTGTTGGGACCAGAAGCTTTTCCCGTTAGTTACATTGACCTATAGTCATGTGTGACCACGATTAACCAAAAGAAAAGACTGAAAAAAAAACAAAAAAGAAGGATTATTTGCCAGATACTCCAGAATGTAGACTCCAGACAAGAACCGATCCAGAAACTGCTGTAGTGTGGGTTGTAGACCTACTGTGTGCCAGGTACTCTCCTGATCTCCTGTTACTTATTTGAGCCTCATAGAAACTTTTCAAAGGAGATGCTGCTATTTCAATGAGAAATGAGATCACCTGAGAAAAAGGAACTGAGGGCCTGCCTGGCCTTTACAAGGCAGTCAATAAATAGAATGTCTATCTTGATGAATAGGAAATGAATCGGTCACATGGCAGAGCCAACACATACAGGTGCAGATTGGCTGCTGGTTTCTGTTGGGATCAGAAGCTTACATTGACCAGGATGTAAAGCCTAATCATTTTAGTCCAACTATATTCTTATATCCAATCTTATCAAGCTCCTGGTAGAGAGAAGCGTCCCTAGAAAAGTAATGCAGCAAAAATCCAAAACGTGACTTGGTTAAAATGCTAGAATTTCAGCATTTTAGAAGACAAGGACTAGAAGCTGGGGAGAAAGCATAATAGAAAAGCAGTATGTCAAAATGACAAGGTGGGATAACATAGTTCTTCGGTGGGATACAGCAGAAAAGCAGCGCTGTAACTCAAGGTGCAGATACATAAATATAATAGTGCAGGAAACAAGTACCATGGATGAGGGTGGTGGTCCCATCGGTACATGAAATGGTATCTCATGCAATGAAATCTCAGTTTTCCCAATTTGCAGATGATCAAAAGAAAACCAAATGATAACAGAATGAAAGCTGCTGAATATAGTTTGATGCTGAATTCCCGAAGGGCTCCAACCTCCTCATCAGGGACTCAGTTATTCTATCGTACGATAGCAGTTTGAGGAGGATGGGGGAGGGAGGAAGAGGTATGCAATTTCCTGGAGCATAGACCTAGATTTCCAGTCACATTGAGAAGCTTTAAGGAACTGTTAGGTATCACCTCCTGCTTAGGACATGATGGCCAAGAACAAGGGTACGGTGGCAGGTCCCTTTAGCAAATCTCATGATTTCACGTGGGCTACACTTACCCCGCTTGTGGTACTTCACCTCTACCATAGGTGGTGTCAGCTTCCCTCTGCTCTACCCCCAGGTACTCCTCCCTGATGGTCTATAAATTGCCAATGGAAAATGTGCGACCTTTGTCCCAGGCTTTCTTCAAATTAGAGACAGGTAAGAACTCTAATTTGGAAAGGAGACCCTCAGAAGCAGATAATGCCACATCGTAAAGTAATCCAGATCTGTGACAAAATAAACTATGACCATCGTTGCTCGAATTAAAAGTTAAAGATGCAAACTGAACTTTAAGAGCACAAAACCAAGGATGTAGAGTGATTCTGCGTCTATGTGCAAGTGAGAAAGGGTGGATGGAGTGAGTTTACTTTTGTTTTGTGAGGTGGTTTTTATTTCCATGTATTTGTGTCTGTTTGTGTGACACACATACACACAAGAACAAAATAAGTCAAAACTCAGTTATAGATCCATTCAAGAAGAGTAGCTTCCTTTCCAGCATTGCAGTTGCTGTTACTTGTTGTTGTTGTTGTTAAGTACCGTGGAGTCGGTTCCGACTCATAGTAACCCTACACAGGGTTTCCGAGGCTGTAAATCTTTACGGGAGCAGAACGCCTCATCTTTCTCCCACAGAACCTCTGATAGTTTTGAACTGCTTACCTTGAGGTCTAAGTACCATCAAATTGGTTCTGACTCATAGCAACCCAGTATAGGGTTTCCAAGGAGTGGTTGGTGAGTTTGGACTGCTGACCTTGTGGTTCAAACTGACCCCACAGCACCACACGCAAATTTAAAAATTAAATTTTATGTAGATGTGCATATGATTTTTTTTTGTCTTAAACTGTAGATGAAGAAACAAACCTACGGTCTGGTCATTAAAACAATCTCCTCAAACCTGCTGAACTTTAAAACTGACCACCTGGCACCTGACACACATTCTGTTTGCCATCCTAGCCCATGACCTTGGCGAGTCTGAACTTCATTTGTGTCCTATTATCACTGCTCCTACTCAGGGATATCTTTGTGACTTGTCATCTGCCCTAAGGAAGAGACTTGGGTCTCCTGGTTCTAGAACAGACTCATCTGATTCCTGCTGAGAGCATCTTTAGTCACAGGAACGCATCTTCTTTCCAGTCTTGATTGAGCTGAACATCCCGATTTCTAAATCCAGTGTCCCCCAGATTGGTCCTGTGGCCAGCAGTGGCCTAGGACCATTGGTGTTCTCCTTTCAGAGGTTGGTTCTTATCAGGGCTCTAACTGCCCTTCTCAGTCCATTGTGGCCAATGAGAAGGGTGTCCAGTCTAATTAGAGGATGTTGTGATGGCTTCTGAACATTTGTCTGTCTGCTTCCTCCAAAGTCACATGTGTTTCTCTGACTTTTCTGATGCTCATGTGCAGGGAAGAAAGCGGTCTCAGTATTATTTCTTCCCTAAATCCAGTTCTCAAATCCCACATAGAAGCCTAACACAAGCACTTTCCCCCTGCCCCTCCTAAACCAAATGAAAACATTGGCATATTTTTAATGGAATAATCTTCTTTGGCCACCAACAATTGTTACCTTAATCTGTTTATTTAAGATTTTAAATGTTATTTGTGTTATATGCTGACTAATTAGACTATCTAGATATATAAATGCATGACTGTCTAACATAAGTTCATCTTTGTGCAGTTAAGCAGAGCTTTGACCTGGAGGAATACAGTCTGTCTCAGTCCACTCTGGAGCAGGTGGGTTCTTGCAGTGACTTCATACCAACCATATGCCTGTAGCGGACCCACGAAGCATCTTCTTCCCGCTCACTCGGAGCTACAGTTCTCTCTGTATTCCTTCCTCCCTTCTAGGTTTTCCTAGAACTCTCCAAGGAGCAGGAGTTGGATGATTTTGATGAAGAAATTGATTCCTCCATGAAGTGGAAGCTCCTTGCCCGCGACGATCCTTAACGCTCCCAAATGCCCACTGATGCTATTCAAACCTATGATTGCATTCTTTCTTCCTTTTTTTTTTTTTTTAAGACATTTATTTTTATATCATGAATGTCCTATTTGTTAGATACTACACTATAAACGAGGGAGAAAGATGAGGCATTCTGCTCCCGTAAAGATTTACAGCCTCGGAAACCCTGTACAGGGTCGCTATGAGTCGGGACCGACTCCACGGCACATAACAACAACACTAGAAACACTGCAATGGTTCTTCATGGTGGCCATTTTATAATATTGTTATTTTACTCAGACATACTCAAAAGGTTCTTGGTGAAATGGGAGAGGAAGAGTGAGTTCTGGGGTGTGGTCAGACCACAGTCCCGTCCAGTCTCTCTATTGCCACAGGCCGTCCAGTTTCAAACTTCTGTAAGATACTGAATAAATATTTTCTTTTATATGATGATTTAAGTCTCAGAGTCTGATCAATTTCATGTACATTTCTTTTATCACAGCCTTAAGACACTCTTATTCTGAGACGGAAAAGTCCATATATTGATTCTTCTGGAAGTTTTAATATATACTGAGCAAAGTTGACATTTTAGTAAGACTCTAAGTGATAATGTCAAAAGGGTCACCCTTTAAAAACCTTAACTTTCATCTATTTTCTTATGATTTGTGAATTTGCCATTAAGTCAACTCTGACTCATGTATGAGTGTAAAATGGTGCTTCCCAGGGTTTCCATGTATAATAATTATCAAGTCCAGTTGCTTCCTGCCAACCCATTTTGGGTTTAACACTATAAAACTAATGAATCCGCTCCTCAGAAAACCTATACAGGGTCACTGTGAGTTAGAACCAAATCAATGGCGCTTAACAATAGAGGCATTGGTCAGCTCTGGAAGATGAGAATTTATTCCTGTTGGGGACCATTCTACTAGCCTGGAATCTCAAAGACCAGGGGAGAATTTCATATCTGCTATTAATTAAAACTAATAGCTGTACAGCGGGAAAAAGATGAGGCTTTCAGCTCCCGTAAAGATTTACTGCCTCAGAAATCCTATACAGGATCATTATGAGCAGGAACCGACTCCACAGCACACAACAACCAATCAGTAAGACTGAGTCCTGGTGTGGCACTGTAGAATAAGCATTGGACTGCTAACCTTAGGATTGAAGGGTCAACCCCACCAGGCATTCCTCAGAAACTCTATACAGGGTTGTTATGAATCAGAGCTGACTCAACAGCACTTAACAACAACATTAAGATAGAAAGGCGCCCTGGTGATGCAGTGGTTATGCCGTTCAGCTGCTAACAGAAAGATTAGTGGTTCAAACCCACTAGCGACTCCATGGGAGAAAGATGTTGCAGTCTGCTTCTGTAAGGAATTTCCAGTGGTATGGTGGTGTGCCATGGAGTTAGTTCTGACTCATAGTGACCCAATACAGGGGTCTCAAGATCTTTATTGGAGCACAAAGCCTCATCTCTCTCCCACGGAACAACTGGTAGTTTCAAACTGCTGACCTTGAGGTTAGCAGCCTGACTACTAACCACTACGTTACCATGGCCTTGGAAACCCTGTGGGGAAGTTCTACTCTACCCTACAGGATCACTATGAATTAGAATTGAGTTGACACTGTGGGTTTGGGGTTTGGATTAAGATGGAGTATGCTCAAGGACTTTATTATGCAAACATTGTTCTGTGTCCCATTACCCACTAGCCATCACGTCACAGAAACAGTGACCATGTCAAGGTTTGAACTGGAAGGTCAGCAAGAGGTTTCTGCTTTGGAAGAAATCTTCATTTTCAATCAAGAAGATTCGAAGCCTTCACTTTTTGGAGTGTGTATTCTCCAATGCTGGTGCACACCTTTCCTAATTTTAAACCGTTCAGTCTTCCCTTGTTCTGTTTGAATGCCTGCACCAGGGTTGTATTCTTTCACCATATTTATTTACAGCTTCAAAAACATTCTGCAGGGTCACTATAAGTCAGAACCGACTCCATGGTGCATAACCATCACCACCACCATTCAATCTATATGCGGAGCAAATAATCCGATAAACTGGATTATACTAAGAAGAGCATGGCATCACGATTGGAGAAAGATTCTTTAACAACCTGCGATATAAAGATGATACAACCTTGTTTGCTGAAAGTGAAGAGGACTTAAAATGATTACTGATAAAGAGTAAAGACTACAACCTTCAGTGTGGATTGCATCTCA